CAGGGGGGGTGAGGTTCTGAGCCTCACCTCTGTTGATCCCCAAATTCTCACCTGATGGCCCCCCTGCGACTGTGCCTGTCTTAGGTTGTTCCTCCCTTGAGGAATCTTACCCGTCTCTGGCTAACCAGTCATCTTCCGGGGCCATACAGGGAGATGTAAAGTTGGTAAGTGAGAGAGAAGCCATATTGTTTGCAAAGGTTAGCTTTTTACTTCTTTGCAGATTTATGCCCTGTGGCTTCTATGCCCAGCACTTGTCTCGAGGTATCTTTACCACCTAACAAGGGCTTCTTTTAACTTTTTTTTTAAAATTCTGATGTAACAACATTTTTTAAAAATTCAAATAATATAGAAATACATAAAGTAAAATTTAACAGCCTTATCCTTTTATCAAATTCTATTCTGTATAGGTAACCATTGTTAATGTCTTGGTACAGTTTCCTAGATCTTTTTCCAGGACAGACAAATATATTTCATTTCCTAGATTCTAAGACATCTTCCGCTACTCCAAAAGATGGTATCTTGGTGCTAAGGGAAGATGGCCTATGCCTATAAAGCCAAGCTCATGTATAGGATAGATTTTTATTTTTGTTGCTTGGTTTAACAAAAGCTAAATCATATCTTTGATTCTTTTCAACTTGTTTCTTTTTATTTAACAGTAAATCTTGGACATCCTTCTATGTCATTACTTATAGATTTATGTTATTATCTTTCATGGCTATTTCTCATTCCATAATTTATTTAACAATTCCCCCATTGCTAAACTTTTAGATGGAATTTTTTTTTTAGCAGATTCTGGTCCCTGTAGTAGGTGACAAGAACAGTTTTTACTACTACAAATGATGCCATAATGAACATCCTTGTAACGTGTGTTCTTCCACATTTATGCATTTATGTTGGATAGGTTTCTAGAAGTAGGCCAAATGTTACAGGAATTAGAAATTGGTATTATTAAATGTCTTTCCCAAAGTTCTACCAGATTATACTTCCTAGGGCAGGGGTCTTAATTTGATTTCTATAAATCCGAGTGTAGGGATGAACTTAAGGGGATACATTTCTCGGATGGTCCTGAGCGTGCAGCAGATCGCTGTCCTGGTGCTGTGTGATGCGAGCAGGGGGGATTCCAGAGCCCTGATGACGCCCTCCTCCCGCACGGGTCTGTGCCCCCGCGGAGCCTGGGCTGCAGACCTCACTGTGTGAGAGCGCCTGCACAGTTCTCTCCCTTTCCTTGTTCCCGGACAGGAATGAAAGGGTTTTGGAGGCGATGACAGAAAGAGCCGAGATGGATGAGATGGAGCGCTTCCAGCCACTGTTGGATGGGTTAAAAAGTGGGACCTCCATTGCACTCAAGGCATGTATATCCCCTGACACCGGGTCCAAGAGTAGCATTCAAGGTAGAAAGATTTAAGTTCACTTTTCCTTTTAATAGAACACATGGAGTGGCTCCCAACTATATATTTTATATTTTAGAATTTGCTCTGAAGGGAAAATTATTATCTTTCTATCCAAGAGGGCAGAGAAAGAACTGTTTTCTTCATAATGAAATGGGGAGAAGGCATGGTATCTATTTATAAGCTCAGAAAACCAGGGCCTGGAACAAAGCATCCCATCAAGTCCTTGGACTCCTTTAGACCTCTGAGCTCTCTAGGCCTGTGCTTCAACCAGGCGTTACTGCTTGGAAAGTCATTCTCGTAGTTTTTGTAGTGCATCTTTTAGGTTATATGTGGGCTCCATGAAATGTATGTAAAGAGAATGGAATCTGGATCTCTAGGAGTTAACTGTGACCTAGCTGCTGAATTTTCTTATTTTAGGTGGGATGCCTACAGCTGATCAATGCTCTCATCACACCAGCTGAAGAACTTGACTTCCGAGTTCACATCCGAAGTGAACTGATGCGCTTGGGGCTGCAGCAGGTGTTACAGGTGAGGTGTGACGCTTCATCTGAGAGGTTTACTGGTTCTTCCCACTCTTACAGCCCAGTCCCCGGGATAGCTTTGGTTTTCAATTTAAAAACCAGGTTGAAAGGCTTGGGTTTCTAGCCAGCAAAAGGTACTTCTGGGTTCCCTGACTTCCATTTTCATCATTGACAGGACCTCCGAGAGATTGAAAATGACGATATGAGAGTGCAGCTGACTGTATTTGATGAGCAAGGGGAGGAAGATTCCTATGACCTGAAGGGGCGGCTGGATGATATTCGGATGGAGATGGAATATCCTTTCACTGCCTGGGTTCAAGACAGAGGAGACATTCAGCTGTAGGTCCCTGTCTGGAATGGCAGAGGGCTGATGACTCAGAACAGGGCATCAGCCTGTGTGTCTTCCCGGTAGGTAAGGCTGGAGTCTGATTGCTCTTGGATTCATTTACCTCAGCATGGACCAGGGAAGTTAGGAAAAGTAATCCTATGATAGTTTAGCATGCTAGGACGTAGAGCTGATTTTTGGAGAACACATACAAGTCAGAGTGTGTGGTTGTAATTTGCTTTCTTGTATGGGTCCCTAAGACTGACGGAGTCACGTGGTTACCTGCTGATACTTGCTTGTCACAAGTGATTTGAGGCGGTTATCTTTTAGTTTCTGTCTACTGCTTCATCTTCAAGCCAAGTACTATCTCTGTATAGTACCGTCCAACTCACTGATCCCTTAGCCTTAGAAAAATAACCCCCCAATTTTATCTTTATAGAATGTAAGGTTTTAGGCAATGTTTATTTACAGGAGGAACAGCTGTTAAAAGTACCATTTTGCTACTTTTCCTAAGGGTTAGGCAATTCACTTGTAAAACAGTTACTAAATAAATGCTTTCCTTAGCCTTGTCCCCTTTTCCACTGACTCCAGTGAAGTCTTCCAGATTCTCTTCAATACCGTGAAGGACTCAAAGGCGGAGTCACACTTCCTGTCCATCTTGCAGCACCTACTTTTGGTCCGAAATGACTATGAGGCCAGGTAAGATGGTGTGCCTGTGGGAAGTTTTGANTTTACAGGAGGAACAGCTGTTAAAAGTACCATTTTGCTACTTTTCCTAAGGGTTAGGCAATTCACTTGTAAAACAGTTACTAAATAAATGCTTTCCTTAGCCTTGTCCCCTTTTCCACTGACTCCAGTGAAGTCTTCCAGATTCTCTTCAATACCGTGAAGGACTCAAAGGCGGAGTCACACTTCCTGTCCATCTTGCAGCACCTACTTTTGGTCCGAAATGACTATGAGGCCAGGTAAGATGGTGTGCCTGTGGGAAGTTTTGAATTTGAGCCTGCATGGAGAGAGCAAAATCCTTCAATTCAAAGGTTGTAAAAGAAAGAAAAGGCAAAGACAAGGATTAAGGTTCATTTTAGTCACAGATATAAAGGGAGTTGTCAGTTGTCCCTTTAATCCAGGTGAAAGGCATCTCTATGAGAGAGGTCAGCCTTTACAAGGTGAAATGTCCTCCTTTTTTTGGCAGGGGGGAAGGTGGGTGGGGAAAAGATGATAGCACAAAGGAGAGAGCAATTTAGAATTCTTTCAGGTAGCCTGGAAACAGGGATTCAGCAACAGTATTCTCTACCACAGGAAGAACCAGGCCTGAGTTTTAGGTCGGAAAGGGTTTGCACTGGAAGGCAGACAGCAGGAAGCTCTGATCATCTGAAGTCGGTGGGGTACGGTGCGGAAGAGGGGGCTTCTCAGCATGGCGGCAGTGCTTCTGTTGGGTTTTATGAAAAGGTCTTTTCAAGAGCACTTCTCCTCAGGTCCCTCTGTTATTTATCCTCAGGTCCCTCTAGTTTCAAAGCAGTTAACTTTTCCTGATCCTAAATACTTGTGAAAATAATGTTTTGTTTTTTTCCTTAATAACCTTGTTTTGTTTCTTCCATAGGCCGCAGTACTATAAGTTGATTGAAGAATGTACTTCTCAGATAGTTCTGCACAAGAATGGGGCTGATCCTGACTTCAAATGTAGGCATCTCCAGATTGATATTGAGGGATTGATTGGTAAGTATCTTCTTCTGTCTGCATCCTTAAAACACTGCTTCTACCTTTCGTTTTACATCTTCCAGTGATAATTCCAGAGAGGATGGGTATTTCCATTTTTAGGTGATAACCAATGTCTATGCTAGGCACGTACAGTCATTTAGTTTACTTCTACATAAATCTAACAATTTACCCCTTCTCACACATTACCCCACCTTTAGAAGGGACTTCAGCTTTGTCTGTGGTTCCTGATTCTAACACGTTTCCCAAGTGTCACTTGTAGGCATTCTCCATGCCAGCTAGCATGGTGGTCTTACTCCACAACAGGCACTCAGAAATTAAATGTTGAACGTCACGGAAGGTTCCATTTCTTCATGTAATGTATAATGTTAAGGATAATAAAAATAGCCAAAGGGACAGAAGACTGCCCTTTGCTTGTACTGAAGGGCTTAGGTAGTGAGAGGAAAAAACAAAGAGAATTGGGAGCTTTACCTACTGACTCTTTCTTCTCAGATCAAATGATTGATAAAACAAAGGTGGAGAAATCTGAAGCCAAAGCTATGGAGCTAGAAAAAAAGGTATGTATGAGAGATCCAGAAAATTGGAGGTGTATCTTTCTCAGGATTATGATTTTTCTGACATGTGAAACAGTTCCCTGTGATATTTTGAAAGCATTCAGCATACTATAGCAGTTCCTAGGGGCAATCTTTCTGGTGCGGGTTTCTCAGTGCAGAAAGCAATACGGCTGTGATCATGAGGAACTAGCGAGTGGTGAGTCCGCACAGTTCTTGAGCCCCTGGGCAGGACAGGAAAGGCGGCTGACGCTCTTAAGGAGCAGCCAGCGCTCAGGGTCCCCTGGCATCGCAGGCCTCTCATGCCTGCAACAGTAGGGGCTGGAATACGTCTGTATGAGCTCTCTCTGATGATTAACAACTCCTGTTGTGATGACTAGGTTTTTTTGTGTTTTTTTTGTTCTTTGAAACTTTTCAGAGAATATTTATTATTCTGTGTGAATTAGAATCAGGTAGGATGAAAAAAAATGGGTAAATAAGTTCTTTCTGCCATCAAGTAGCTTCACCACTAGGGAGAACAACAAAGAAAACATAGCATGACTTCCTCTCTGTACAGCGGTCCATCTTCGGCGCCTTAAGGGACAGGCAGCATAGTGTGCGTGTGAAAAGGGGGGCGCGACCGTGAGCAGGGCGCCAGAAAACAGTTCCTGAGAGACGTGACACTAGGCGCGACTAAGACTTCGTTAGAAGTAGAGTAGGAGAAAGGATTTTCTGGGTGAAAAGGTCATTCCACACAGGCATGTTTATAACTTTTCAAATGTTTCATTTTTGTTTGACCTGCATTAAAATGCAGAGCTCCTTTAGAAATGAAAATTAGATTGAAATGATGAAGTATTAGTCTGATTTTTTAGATTAAATCTAAAATGTACATTTTCAGTCCCCTTATAGAAAATGTATAAATTTTTCCAAAATCACATTATGTTCACTAACCTATCATCTTCACACTGAACTTTAGCTAAAAACAATAAAGTTATACTCTGAAGGGAAAAAAGAAAAGAAAAATAAACTAGTATTTATTGATTCCTACCTGACAATAGCCATTTTATTTATTTCATTACTAATTCTCACAAAAATCCTCTCATGTAAGTAGAAATTACTCCCCCTATTTTATAGGTTTAATTGAAGCTCAAAGAAGTTAAGTGACTTTTTTTTATTATTAAGGTATCATCGATATACAGTCTTATGTTTAGGTTTCCCAAGAATGGACTAACGGTTACCAAACAGAAAGGGACTGAGGACGGTGGGTGGGAAGGGGGGAGGAATAAGGGGAATAAGGGGCATTACAGTCAGCACACATAATGTACGAGGGGGCACGGGGAAGGCAGAATAGCACAGAGAAGACAAGTAGTGACTCTATGCCATCTTACTATGCTGATGGACAGTGACTATAATGGGGTGTGTGGTGGGGACTTGATAATGGGGGGGAATCTAGTAACCACAATGTGATGACTAGGTTTTTGATTCTAGAGACTTGGGATTATTATACGCCATACCTATTCTGGTTAAATGTCTTTAAAATCTTAGGGTTTTTGTTTTGTTCTGTTTTTTATAACTTTAAAAATAGGTAGACTATGGAAACGATCCCTGGTACCCCCTCCTTTAACTTTTTTAAGATCAAAATCACGGTGCTCATTTTTTCCCAGGCAGTCCCTGGGAAGGTGAGCTCCGTAGGTCAAGGACTGGCACAAAACAGTGAGTGACAGGGAATGACACTGTGCTGAGATGGAGAACTTACTGGGAGCCTGATTCCTTTCTCCTTTAGTTGGACTCAGAGTTAACAGCCCGACACGAGCTGCAGGTGGAAATGAAAAAGATGGAGAGTGACTTTGAGCAGAAGCTCAAGGATCTTCAGGGAGAAGAGGATACATTGCATTCTGAGAAACAACAGCTTGCTGCAGAGAAACAGGATCTGGAAACAGAGGTGTCCCAGCTTACAGGACAGGTAATGTCTGAGCAGGGAAGGCAGAGTGACCAGTAACTGCCCCGAGCAGCCTCCAGACAAGCCTGTCTTGGAGCAGGAGTCAGTCGTCCTACTCCTGCCACCAATAGGTAATCTAGTTAGTGCGTATTTTAAAAATCATTTACTGTTGTTTTGTTTTGGGGTAAGTAATACGTAAGATAGAAAATTTGGAAAATATAGAACAACATAAAGAATGTAATGAG